CCTCAGTGATAAATAAAATTGCCAATATACCAAGACTAACAACACAATAAACTCCAAAATGTTATTTAAAAGTTCTGTTATACTTAGAATTTTTAAATGCTAATATTTTTTACAGTATTTGTTTGTTTGTTGTATTTTTGAGAATGGAAACTGGAGCCATACATATGTCTTTATTTTTTAATTAAAATACAATGACATCACCCACCTTCATTTTCCTCCCTGCAACCCTTCTATGTGCTTTATCCCCACTCCCACCCGCATGTGCCTTGGCCTCTGGTCTCTTTTTCCATTGATAAATTTGATAGTAGTAGGAGCTAACTTTACAGAGTGCTTACTATAACAGATACCACGGTAAGCACTTAATGATGAATGCTTCTAGTAGTCTTCACAACAATCCCATGGCTAAGCTATGAGAATACAAGGCCATCAAGTGTTCTCAAAGCATGGTCCCTGGGAGCTTGTGTGGAGGTTCTAGTAGGGAGTACAACTCCTCATACAGCCTTGATTAAAAAGCAGTCTTCCTCTCTATTGTGTCAGGAAGATCTCAAGGAGGGAGGGACCAGAGAGACAGGTGAAAGAGGAGTGAACCACCTGCCTGCCCAGGCAGGTCAACTGAATCAACCTTGGATCAGTGAATGATAGAAACCCAGATCGTCCTCACACCCAAACTGTGGTCCCTGCACCAGAAGGATCAGAATCACCCTAAAAAGCACTATAAATGCACATTCTTGGCCTCACCACAGACCTCTTTAATCAAAATTCTGGGGCTTGAGAATTTTAACATTTATTCCAGGAGAGTCAGATACATGCCAATGCTTGTGAGCAAGGGGACACCAGAAGTGAATTCCTTGTCATGGAACTGAGAGCTTATCAAAGTCCTTGTGCTTAATTACTTAAGCACACCCATATCCACTGTTCTAAGAAGAAAACCAGTTTCTGGTTATTTCTATTTAAAACTCATAATGAAGAAGTGTCCAATATCAATCTTTCTCCTTGGCTGGTAGTATTGGACCAAATAAGTTTATGTACTAAACTTGCCACCAGAGGGAGTCCCTATATCCTTTCCTAGAACAAGTCATGTGGAAACTACAACTTTGTATAAACTTTTTAAGACATTTGGAGGGTGATATTCTATAGGGCTGGGTAAAGGCTGCTTCTAGACAACAAAGATGATTAAAGAAAAAACCCAGTGCCAGGGTGGGAAGCTTTATTATGAGTCATTAGTCAATAAGATACCAGAAACAAAAGCAAACACCATACAGGTTTTTGTCATTCCTCTTGGTTTCCCCCAGAACTAGAGGATAAGATCTTATTGCCAAGGTTAGTTGCACAGTAAACAGAAATCAAGCTGGAACTGAGCTGGAAGATTCCTCTGTGCCAGTTGGCTTTCCTAGTGTCAGATGGCACTAAAGAGGCAACTGGAGGATAAAAGTATCGAAGGTCTTACCCAACTGTGACCCATATGAATCATGAGCCCAACCTTCCAGGCAAGATATGCTTACTGTACACAGTGGTAGTGCTGTTATGGGGCCACCAACTACTCGATGATCAGATTTAAGTTCCACTCCACAGAATCCATGCCTGGTACTATAAATGCATGGTGGATGAGTTCATAGGTCCTAGAGGGGAAGTGAATACTGTTGTTTAGCTAAATTGATATAGTATCAAATTGCCTTCTATGTATCGATGCTTATAGCCAGAGACAAATGCTACCCTCAGCCTAGTCAGAGAAGCATCTCTTAGCAATGAATGCTGATGAGTACAACTTGCTTCATAAGATTGTGAGAATAAATGACAGATGAGTTGTCAGCCCTCATCAAGACATTTATACTATCCACCTAAAGAGGGTGTACAAAGAATATAAAATGTAGATAATAGGGAGAAGGGCTGCAAAAAAATGCCAACATTCATGCAAGATATAGCTATTGCAATCATGAACTCACAGTAGTATAGTTGCCTACACCAAGAATGGGCCTGTCAACCATCAGGCATGGATGGAGAAGAAGCTCAGGAGACCCTACCTCTCACAGCTGAACTATGTGCTACTTATAAATTCTGTACCCACTGATGACCCTACCATGTTTCAGTGTTTAGTTTCAAAGCAATAGTCACACAAAAGACCCTAGTTAAACTGGATATTTCAATCATTAAACAAAGCCAAAAGTCAGCAATTTAGTAAAAAGAACAAAATGTCTCTGGTAGAGAACATGTTTAGCTCTATGCATTGACATTAAAGCAATTTGCTTAACCCACTGTACAAGGACCCAACTTTTTAAAGTTATAATTTTTAGGAATTAACCTGCTGTTAGCAGTTAAATAAAATAAATTATAATTGACCATTAAACATTTGTGTCCATTTGTTTTTCTTTGGTAAGGGAATTGGGAGCTGGGGATGAGCCTCAGGTTCACTCATAAAGTAGGAGTAGGGAAGTGAGAGAAAAAGTTTAGATTAACAAAATAGTAACATTTTTTAATTGCAAAAATTCTAATTTAAAGGGCATTATCACCTCTGAAATCCAACTTAGGGGATTAAAAATAGTTTTTAATAATAGTCCATTTGTGGGTATGTTTTGTTCTACCATCTTACTTAAAATGCTTGAGTTTAGAAATAGCAAGTCCAGGATATGGAACATGACTATTTCTCCATAATAGTGCTTACCAATAATAGTATAAGCTATTAAGCATGTGCCCATTGGGCCCCTCTTCCGTCATACTATATAAAATGGGACTCATTAAATGTTTTACAAAATAATATTACGTTGACTTAAAAAATACACAGACATGTAGTAGTACTGGAAAAGGGAACACTTACACTACTTCCACAGGGAAGGAATGCCCCGTGACTTACCCTAAAACATATGCCTTCTTTTCTCCAAATAAAGAATGCCATTGGCATGTCACATTTGTTGAGAACTTTGTGAAAAGAATATTAAGAGAGGTGTCGGGTGGTGTTCTGGTGTCCTATTTTTAAGTTTCCATTGTTTAAAAAGCAACTGGCAGAGGAAAGGGATTCTTTCAGCTTACAGTTGTTTTCTATCAATGAAGAGAAGTCAGGGTAGGAACCCAAGGCAGGAACTGAAGCAGAACCCACAGGGGAATGTTGCTCAGTGGCTTGCTCCCTGTGACTCCCTCAGCTTGTTTTCCCATACAACCCAGGAATGGCACCACACACAGTGGGCTGGGCTCTCCCACACTGATCAGAATCCAAAAACTGTCCTATAGACTTGCCTATAGGCTAGTCTGGTGGAAACATTTTCTCAAATGAGGTTTCCTCTTCCCAGATAACTCTCACTTATGTCAAGTTAGAAAGAAAGGAAGAGCAGCTGGAGAGATGGTTCAGTGGTTGAGAGCCCACATACTGCTCTTCCCGAGAACCTGAGTTCAATTCCCAGCACCCATATCAGGTAGCTCACAACTGTCTATAAGCCCACACACCTTTGACTTCTGTGGGCACTTGCATTCATGTGTACATCCCCCCACACACACAAAAAATTAAAATAAAAAATAAATTAAACACACAATTAAAATTAAAAAAGAAAGGAGGGGGAGGGGAGACGGAGGGAGAAAGATAAGACACCTGGGAATAGAGAAAAGAATATTAAAGACGGAAAACAAACTTCAGTTCACTGTCTTACCATATAATGGTGGCCTGGGAATTGACTTCCCAAGTCCTTATTTTTCCCTCAGTGAGATGTGTCCTAGGTGCCTGTAAGAGAGAAAGCATCTCTGAGTAGAAAAGATCTGAGAGCAATTGTGCTGATCCATGTTCTGACTGGCTGTTGAGAGAGTAAGACTGAAGAGCCCATGTCTCAGAAGAAACATCCTAAGAGGACTCTGGCCTAAAGGATTGAAATTCAACACACAAGTGATCATGAATTGCTATACTGAACATGAGGCATCTGCTAAGAAGTCTACCTGGATGTGATAGACATTTGCAACAGTAGCAAGTAAAGCAAGTTTCTCTTCCTAATGCAGCACACCTCCTTCAGCTAATCAAAGATCTGAATAGTCTAGGACTGAAACACATTTTTGAGGAATATAGACAACCAGCTTCCACAGTAATATTCACAGCATCACAGCATCAGCTTTTCCAGTTCCCAGGCCTTACACTTGGACTGTTGTTATATGCTGTTTCTCTTGTGTCATTTATTTAGCAAATCT